GCTGTTAATGGTTGACAGCCAGCCCACTTGCACTGAAAGCATCTAGTTCTCATGGCGCGTTTGGGCTTGCAAGTGGGATTTGTGGTGTTGGATTGCGCCTGTACCACTGCCTCTCGGTAACAAAGGTGAGATTTGTGGTAGTGTCACCATCTAGTGGCTGGATCCGATGAGGGTCACAGGCTTGGTTGAACTAGGACTGCTGATGCCTTTACTTTTCAGTGGGAAAAAGAGCTACTACACATGTGCCTGGATGAAATAATGTGGTAACGACAAGTATTTTCACCATGTTGTTTCCTCATCTTGGCAAATGCTTGCCTTAATCCCACCAGTCTACTTCCTCACATCAGGCATTGCCTCTTTGCCTACTTTTGGAGAAGATGCAAGCCATTTTTGTGGGTATACATACACATGCAGACAGCTTGTACCATGCTAGAGATGTCTTTGAAATACAACCCATTAGCTGCTTGCAGTATATGATATGAGGAAGAAGTTCTTTACTGTAAGGGTGTTGAGGCACTGGAATGGGTTGCCCAGGGAAGTTGTGAATGCTCCATCCCTGGTGGTGTTCAAGGCCAGGTTGGACAGAGCCTTGGGTGGCATGGTTTAGTGGGAGGTGTCCCTGCCCATGGCAGGGACTAGATGATCTTAAGGTCCTTTCCAACCCTAACTGTTCTATGATTCTATGATTCTATACTAGTCCAGCAGAAAATCTGAGCCATCTCTATTTTCGTAAGCACTAAGCCAGTTTACATTAAAAAAAGGCAAAGGTAAAGAGATAAATACATTAATCGTTTGTGATTGTTAGATGTATTTCCTGAATTCTCAAATTCAGGAAATTGAATTTTGAATTCTCAAAATCAGGTTATTTTCTTAATACAGTTTTAAATATCAATTAAATATCCATTTTTCTTTCTGTTCTCTCATTTTTTTAATCATGTCAGATGTAGAGAAGCAGTGCATATGTTTTCTCCTTTTTGAATCATGTTAAGGCTGCCATGCTTATCAAGATTTACATCCTCATCTAATTTAACTTTTTATAAATAATTACAAATCACTCATGAGACCTTGCCAACTGCTTCAGTCTCACAAAGTGACCCAACCTGAAACCCCAAAGTACTGAGAAACATTCATCTCAGTATTTTCATAGGCAGTACTTCAAAGGAATTGTGGTTTAAAAATATGCAGCTATTTTGGTGACCACTTGTGTGGGATAAAGTTTCCCATTAGTAATAGCAAGACTGTAATAGAGCTTCAGGGAGAAGGAAAGAGTTCAGGGGAGCATTCACAGCACCTTTTGCCTCATTCAGCTTAAGCAGTAAGAGTACCCAGAAGTAAACAGTTGACTTTGTTAACATAACATGGACTGAATTTGCAGCAGAAATAATGTAAATCTCTGATAATTTGTAGAGCATGAAGAATTCCTCTGGCAAGTATGCATGGCCTTCACTCAGTTGGGAACAGTGTTCTTTATCTTCAGGTGGCATAACCAGTGAGCAGTGGTTTGAAGGAGCCAAAATAGGACCAGGGACATGTATGGCTGTAGATCTGCAGCTTGGAGCTGTGTTCTGGGCAGATTTACAGACAATTCTCATACATGGAGGCTTAGGGTTAGGATGAAGCTGGACATACAAGAGCAACCTCTGAGCAGTCCTGTTAAACGAGCATTTCTCTTCAGTTACACAGATGAATCTGATCCTCAGGGGGTGAGAATTTAGCATCATAAAATACAGGGGATAGGCTTAAGTTTGAGTATCCTCTTCTCCTTGGCTAACTGCTTGACTTTTCCTTTAATATGGGAAAAATGAGGCAGGATGGGTTCTTTGTTCATGCCTAGCTTCTTGATAAAGAAAGGAACTTACCTAGAAAAGTTACCAGTTGGGTGGTAAAGGCAATTTCTCTGAGATACAGAGGGCTTGCCCATTTACAACAGGCCTGAAGTGATGGTCCACACTAAAGTTTTTCATGGTTTTTAGGATGGTTGTTCTTCTCTAACCTTATTGGGGAACAGTAATATGAAAATACAGATCCTTCCACCTGGTTGCAAGGGTAGCATTAGTTGAAATTGGGATGCTGTTACATGCTAGTGTAGATACACATTTTGGATCTTCAGTCCTGTGGTGAGGCTGTTGATTAGTCCATAAATCAAAGTTGGTTTCTTTCTGAAGTGGCTGTGCTACTTAGCTAGAAGTAGAGGGCTGCCAAGCTAGCAGTGAAGCACATGAAGAGAATGGGGGTTTAGATATTTTGTCAGCAATTGGGAATGTGCTGTCATCTTTTATGCTAACCATGTTCTGTTTTGGGAACCCTAGCATTTTGCAATATTGCCTCTTAGTATAGTTCTTATCATTGTCAATAAGATAAAAGATTGGATTGTTGATTTCAGATGTGTTGGGCAAACACCAGGTTTTTAAATTGCAATCTATCAGTTATGCAATAGATAAAGATAAGACTTCAGACACCATTTGGTATAGATTCCAGCATTAGTGAAGTGCCCTGGAATCACAAAGCCTTAAAGAAATAGTATTCTTTCTCACTGACCCTTAAGCAGTCTGTTTTTTTTTGTAGCTTCAGTAGTGGTTGTGGTAGCTGGAGGCAGCAAATAGAATCATAGTATAGTTAGGGTTGGAAAGGACCTTAATGTAAGGTCTTAATGGAAGAACCTTAATGGAAGAACTTAATTCTTCCAAGATATTTGCAGTCCTCTAGGACATGCTTCAGTATAACCACTAAATTGTGAAGAAGAGAGCAAATTGAAGTCTGAACAACTTGTTAAATAGAAGAATCAATAAAATTGTACTGGCTTTTACTGCCATTGGATAATAGAAATAAAAAAAAAATTAAGAATGAAGTTTTACACCCAGTGAATGAAGGTTTTGTTGGTCCTTTGAATCAAAGCCAGCAGGACTGTCTTACCTACTTTAAAATTTATTTGACAAGTCTGGCTGAAACACAGGGTATAAATCAGAGCAGAGTGAGTTTGCCTTGATTTCGCACCATCCTCATGGAATAAGTTACAGGAACTGGTGGGTATAAACCAGATCTATCTCTTCCTTTAAATCTGTTCTTCAGATTATTCAGAAAGTTGGGACAAGCTTTTTGCTTCATTTGTTTGGCCTGGCCTCCTCTTTTTCCCATTTCTTTGAGGGGACTTCTGTAGCTGCTTGGAACGTAAATGAGCTATGAAGCAACAAGGTGCTTGTTTAATGTCTTTTATACATAGCAGAATGGATCCCTGAGCTTTGTTGCTTCTTTTAGGTAGTGTTGCAATGCAAACAATAACTCATTGGGTTTTCCTGCTTGCAAGGGAGTACCTCCACCTCCTTGTCTCCCTTCCATGCCTTCCTGCTTTTTTTAATGAATTATTATCTGTGATGCACTAGTATGATACATTTCAGCAGAACACAGATGAAATATTGCATGATTGCTGTGAAAGCAGTACCTCTGCACAGGGAGTTACGGTCAGGACCTTCATAGGCTCAGAGGAAATATATGTGGTCCATTTTTGTTGCTGGATTTCAGTAGTGTGGAGCCATTGGGCCATATATTCAGCAGAGGTGCGTTGTTTGTAATGATAAGCTGTAGGCAAAGGTAGCTAATACCTCTTTTTCAACAAAAAAAAAGGGTTTCTGCAGAATTTATCATAGGATCATAGAATGGTTTGGGTTAGAAAGGCCCTTAAGATCATCTAGTTCCAATCCCCCTGCCATGGGCAGGGACACCTCACACTACTATGTATAGCTATTAATTTTCAGTTGTGAGTATGTTGCATTCTTTGGATTATTCTACTGGAACAATTTTCATAGCCCTTGTAATGAGAAGCTTGATGTGTAAGATTTTAGGTGTGATTTGCGTGGCTATAGTATAGTTTTAATTTTTCTCTTAATTGATGGATGAGTTCCTTGGTTTATTTTATATTTTGTCCTGTTGTTCGTATGAGTGGTGTTTGGGATATAGCATTTTCTAACGGTGATCCTTATTCTTTCCATGATTGGTCTTCTCCATCTCATTTTCTTGTAAAAATTAAGCCACTTCTAGTGCTTGTATAATGTCAGATGATTGTTCTGGTGTAGTGAACTTTAGGTAAATAATGCCTGTCTGGTCACTAAGCTTTGCTCTTCTACTGAGATGAGCAGGTGATTGAAGAACTTAATCAAAAAGGGTCAATGGAACAGTAGTTTTTTTTGTGGAATGCAGCAAAAAAAAGATGAGCAGGAAAACTTCATTAAGCTCTGATTGTAAATTACCCACTAGATCCATCCAAGGGACCACAAAATCCTTAATCTGTGGTGACTTGGGCTCAGTAGGCATTGCTGTATCTCATCTGTGGTGCAGTGAGTGTATCTGTGTCAGGCTGGGTGCTGCGTTGATGCATGCACACACACTGCCCCTTAGTATCCATGAAGAAATGAAGTGCAGTGTATGTAAGGTTGGATGGATCAGCTTTACTTTGTCTTCCAGGTGGCTTCTGCCTGGCCTGGCAGCTTTCAGTGTGGACTTGGTGGTTGCTGAACAATCTGCTTTTGCACAGTAGCCATTTTTCAAGGGAGCCATTTGTTTGAAGTTTTGCAGTATCTGAAAGGTGGCAGCTGTAGTGAAATCCCCAGATATTCCACTGTGCTGTATTGTATTGTTGTGGCTATTGTGAAACAGAAGCTGCATTGGGGACCCAAGGAATAAAAATAGCAGTTGGTCCCAGTTATAGTCTGCTTGGTCCCAGTTATAGTCTGCTTTGCAGACTGCTGTCAGATTTCAACATAAATAATGCTTGTTCTAATTTTTCACAGAGAACTGGATTTCCTCTAAATACTTGCTTTGGCATCCCACTTTACATGCCTTCACTGTGTGTGAGAATTAGATAAATTATTCTGTAAAATAAAACAGAACTCCAGGCCAACCTTCCTCTCAATTTATTCTAAGTGTCTTTTTTGAAGTGGAGGGTCTAGCCTGAATGTTGTGTAAAGTTGTTTATAATTTGTTGTATTTCTCCTCTCTTATGACAGTGATCCGAGCTAAAGTTGTGGGGAAGAAGCTTATGAAAGATGGACCATTTGGAACAATGCGGTACACAGTCAAGCAGATGAAGGTATGTTTGCAAACATTTCATGTAGGCTTGTAGATAAATTACAGTAGCATGTAATAATGAACAAAGTTGCATGCTGAAAATAATAGCATTTCAGCTTTTCATATTGGTCAGCCAGAATAGACAGTTACTGGCAATTAGTAGAAATATGCCTGGGGAGAGCAAAGGAAGAGGTCATTCCTGCCCTACAATGCTGAATACCTAATTCTTCCTTTATTTTTAAAATTTCTGGTAGTAAAAGATGCCAGATGGGCTTCTCTGGGTATTGGAGTCCTGTTTGTGTTAGACTGTGGCAATGCAAGCTTCTCCATCTAGCGCTTTCATTAAATTCAATATGTGGTGGGGGTAGGGGGCCTGCTGCCCTAGGGAGAGTGGTCTTTCATCTCTTCTTTCCTTGCATTCTCTGTGACCACCAGTTAGAGTAATGGCATTTTTTTCCACATATAGAACAAATGGAAATTGTATAGTGAAGTCTTTGTATAAAAAAACTAAACCAAGCACTGTAGCTGTCAAATATCAGCTCAGAAGAACTGTGAAGTATTGACTGAAAGTTGAAAACAAGTAGATGAATTAGAGACACCAAGCAACTGATGTATCTCTCTTCAGAGCTCTACTTCTTTGCTGCACAAACTGCACTCAACCTGCTGCTTTGGACTTCAGGGCTTTTTCTTAAACTGACCCCCTTGTTATGTAATGCTAAAAATCAGCCTTAGATTGTTTTTCTTGGCTATGCCATTCCAGTCATAAGACTGGTTTATGTCTTTAGGAAAAAAAAAGAAAAAAAGAGGGAATGGAAAAGCTTGGCAGAGACTGCAGAAATCTGAAACATATTAGACAAAGTAAGGGTTCAGAAAAAAACAGTCACTTGCCTGCCTTGTAACAGTAACTCTCTTTATAAGGCAGTTTATAGCTCAGCACGAAAGCTGGGAGGAGGAGACTCAAAGCCTGTTTCATAAGCTGTCGCAAAACCGCACGCGTAGCCAAATCTGGTCCTGGCAGAGCTCTTCCACTAGAGTGGAATGCTTGTGCTTTGAGTAAGAGGGTATGAGGTGCTGGGCTTGCTAATTTCCTTAATCTTAAAAATTCAAAAGGAAATACATGTTTGTTGGTTATTTTTTTTTTTTTTGTGAAAAAGGCACCTGGTTATGTTGGCAAGAGCAAGACAGTGCTGCCACTTTCTTTTTGGTGTTTTCTCTTGGGTTTTTTTTGGTGGCTGTCCCTGGCCTCATCAGGCTTACAACATTGGATGCTGTATTTGTCCAGTTTTGTCACTCTCAGCAAGTGTACCCTGCTTCACAAAACAGCTCAATGTTCACATGCTGCAGTGGCTTCATCAACTTTTCTTTCTTTGACTTCATCCTAGTCTGTCCAGGACCCCTACTTTCCCTCCTACTTGGTTGGAAGAGGTTGATAGTTCCTATCTGATATGACCATGAACAGGGTTCAGTGGTGAATCTAGAATAACGGTTGATAGTTCCTATCTGATATGACCATGAACAGGGTTCAGTGGTGAATCTAGAATAACAGTAGCCCCCAGAATGAATTACTGCCCTTCATGAACCGTAACACTAACCTCTCTCCTAACTAATGATAGATACAGTCTGCCCCATTGTCAGCCAGTGAGCTGTAGTGGAAGAGATCTCTGGAACAGCATTGAGCATTCCTCTTCTGACCTAGGAGCCTGCAGAAGTGTCCCTCCTATGAACTGAAAAGGTTTCCATGTGTCTGGTGGCATGGGGAGGGGGCATAAACCCAGGCAAGCATATTGAGTAAAGCAGCAGCCACTGCTTTCAATAGAGACCATCATATCAATGTTTAAATAAGGTGCCTGAGCCTGTCCTGGCTGTTTTAATTGGGTTGTTCTGCAGCACAGGGCCAGGGTGTTTACAGCAGGTACTGCAGTAATATCCAATGCCCTTGTACTGAGACCACAAGAGAACAATTAGCCTTTTGCAGGAGCAGTTCCACAGTGTTTTGTTAGGTAGCTATGTGCGTGACAAAAGCAGGAGTGATTTTAAAGGGGAACTCATGAGCTGATCAAACTGGCTCTGTGCCTGCTACATAGATGGTGGGCTGATGAGATGTTATATCACACATTCAACTGTGACCTTTGGCAGGAAGGAACCTGAAGCAGTCAGAGTGCTCAGTAGAACTGGAATGTCCAGGGAACATGGTTCTTGATAAACAAACAAGCCAAGTGTCTTCTTTGAAAGACACTGTCTTTCTGCTGAGCTTAGAGACTTCAGTATAAAGAGGGATTCAGCTCCATACAGTGGGGGAGCTCAGAATGACACAGCAAATCTCTGCCTTGCTTGCCCAGTGAAAGCTGACTGTCCTGCTGAAAAGAAAACTAAGGAGGCCTATAGCCCTGCACAGCTGCGTGGGAACAACTCTGAAGATAACATGTCAGTGAGCTTTTGGCCACCTATAAACCCATATGCACCTGCAGATGAAAATAAACAAGCCATTTAGTCTATCAGTGAGTACTGAATTTCATGTGAAAAGCATTAAGAGCCTTAAAAGGCAACAAACAATCTTTGTATTTCTTTCATGGGTTCCTTGGAGTTTGCTGTGGCTGATTCTTGCTCTTGCTAACACTCCTGAACTCATTGCTGAATTTCACAACTCAATCAGCTTGGAACCTGGGCTGGAGCACAGGTCAGCCCACAGGCACAGAATAGTGCCAGGCTTTGTAGCCTTCAGGTTGGTTGTCTGAAAAGGTCTTGTGCTTTTTCAAACAATCTCTGCCTACCCCCACTGCTTTCTCAAACAAGAATATTTCAAGATCACATGTCAGGTATCTGCACAGGACTGATCTAACCTCTGCATGTTCTGTGATGCTTCAGTGCATTCTGAGAATGGCCCAAGCCTATTTCAGGAAACTGCAAAGGAAACAAGGAGATAAGATATTTCTACTGCATGTGCACAAACAGTTCTGGTTGACCATGGCAGCACTTAGCACAAGCTGCCAGGAGGCTTTCCTTGGTTTGTTGCTAATCTGTAAAGTGAGTCTAAGGGGTGAAACATAATAGTTCCAAGAGGAAAGAAGTGGAGTGGGATTAATTTAGTTTAATTTTAGACGGACTAAAATGAGGTGTGGAGACTTTCTCATTCTCTTGATTGTCAATAGAGAGAGACAAGAACCCCCAAAGTGTAATTCAGCCCACCAGTTGTAGACAGCTATTTTAGGATGAGCTGAGTTTTTTCTGGAGGTGCCTGCTCTTGGCATTTGACTAGAAAGGATGTCTAATTCACATGAAGGTAATTTTAGGTAGCTAAAGGTTAGGCAGGATGATTCCAAGCCTTAGTATCCCTCACATGAGAGGGATAATGGAAGGAACATCATATCACAGGGTGAAGTTAATATTGTAGGAACCACCACAGAATTTGCATGTGCATTTCTGAGGCAGTATGGGGGCTCCTGAGGAAAATGCTGACACAGCTGGAAATGGAGCAGCACTAGCAGACACCACTATGTGATGCTTGCTAATATGTTCCCTGTCATTATGCTTCTGAAAATATACATCTCTGGTGACAGGAGGACTCTGAGGGTAGCAGTTGGGAGAGCAGATAGCTTTATGGTTGGTTTTCTTCTGACTGGTCTAGTAGCATTTCCAGGATATTTTGTGTATCCAAAAATAATGCTTAAGGTATTGGTTTTGGGGTTTTTTGTTTTTTTTTTAGTTTTGAAAGAGGACATATGTAGAAGATTCCCTTTTGCCAAATTTTCTTCCCCTGAGAACCAAGGTCACGGTGAATTTTCTTTAGTCATCAGGGGATGGGGTATGCCCTGTCTGCCCCTAGCAATGGGTCAATTAGTGTGACAGTTGCTAGCATTGATGAGGATCACTGAGGGGTGACATGAACTGCTTTCTGAGAGGCTGAGCACAGTTCCTTCAGCATCCCTGACAGTGGTGTCCCTGATGGTAATGTAAGTAGGAAATTATTAGGTCAAGGAATTGAAAGCCAAACCCCAATTCAGCATCACTGTTTACCTCATAGGCAGTCATGTTGAGCTTGATGGAGCAGAACATGCAAGGAGTGAAGACTGTAAAGGTCATGTAGGAAGGGCCTGAGCAGCTTCTCAGAGGATTTAATCTAGCCTGTAGCCTTTTCTGCAAGGGGGAGAATGGGCTCAAAGCGTGCCTGTGCATGTGTGGACTTTATAGCACAGATAAGATAGACTTAATTAGTCCAACACTACTTGGAGCTTAGCACTTGGAATGACGTATCACTTGTACTGCACATGCACAGCATACAGCTCTCTGCAGTGAAGGTAATGCACTGCCTGGAGAGACCTGGCAACCCCAGTTGTTAGCTAGTCTTACCTGCTTAGGTACTGTTACCATAGCTTCTTGGTGTAACGCCTACCAGAACAGCATCTGAACATTCTATGTGCCTTTCCTTGGGAAGCAAGGCAGAGATTTCTGCAGATGAGGAATAAAAGTGTACTGAGGGCTAGCTCATCCAAGGACAGGCAGGATGCTTGTGCCAGAGCCTAGATGTCCAGCTGTCTTGAGCATAATTGGAAAATCTGTGTTTCCTATACCATGAAAATTGCAGGGATAAAGCAGATATTAGTCAAAGTTCAGTTCTTCCATACTCATTGAAAGATTTTGCTCACTCATGGACACTATGGTGTATTCCAGATATGACCTGTGAGCTTGTAGGTGGAGTATGATTAATTAAAAACCCAGTTATTAATTTAGAATGCCTTTTGCTGTACACAGCAGTGTTGTTACTGAGTTGTGATACTGTTAAAAGATTATGCTGATTTGGGTAATAGAAAAAAAAAACAACCCAACTGGTAGACATTCTGTGGATGCCCAGAAGTTAGTTAGACTTTTCAGCATAGCAGAATTAGTAGTAGTTTCTTTATATTTTTATATGCAGTATCTGGGCCTGGCATAAGATCTGTTAAATCAACGTTTTTTTTTCATCAGAAAGAAAAAAGTTTGTTGTTTTTAAAGGAGGTGGGCAATAGTGAAATACCCTGGGATAACAAAGGAGTTCAAAAAATGGAATACAGCCTGGAGAAAAAAAAAACCACAGCTTAGATCCTTGCTGCTGTGCCGCCTATAGCCCTGGGATTGCTTGGGATTTTTTTCCCCTCTTTTGCCTCACTTTAATATTAACAGTTAAACTGAGTATGAATGTGCACTCTATAAATAAAGCTGACAGAGAAAGGAATAGGCTGGGAAACACTAAGGAATAGGCTGGGAAACACTATGAAACTGTGATTCTCACTGACTCTAAATTGTTTAACTTTTAAGCACTGGCCATTCATAGAGCTGATGGGGGGGAAAAAAGAGACTGAGTGTTTTGAAAAGATATCCAAATTTTAAAGCTGAAATTTTCAGGAAATCATCCTCAATGTTTCAGAAATAGGGTATGTTTTGTTTGGTCCAGTGTACACATGCAATGGTTGTTTCATTGCTATGCATAGACTTCATTATGCTGCTAACAGGTGGGTTTTCCTGAATTGTAGCAGTAAGGTCAGGTCAGATAGGGACACATGCTAATTTCTGACTGTATCCAACTGCCAGAATATCTATGGATTCATATTTCAATTAAACTGTGTTGTAAGAAAGATTATGAAAAAGGAGAAGGAGTGTAGAGGAGTTATGTATACATGATATTTTCTTTATGGCGCCCATCAGTGCTGGGCTAATTTTAGGAGGTGGGGTAGAATTCTATTTCTGCATTCATTTAATTAGACAAACATGAAATCCTTGCTGAGGTCAGCAGGAGTTGCATATGCTGGGTGCTTGAGGAGGTGTCTGGCTTGATAACTTAGAACAAGTGCCAGAAGTTTGAAACTCTTGCAGCAGCAGCACTGGAAAATAGGGTTGCTGTCTAAAAGAAAAATCCTTTGGTTCAGAAGAAATTGTTTGAATCACATGAAGGACTAAGATTCTAAACTTGAACTAATTTAATTTCTCCCTAATTATGAGCTATATAAGGGGAAAAATTGTTCAGGATGTTGGCAGAGCTTGCAGTGTTGGCACTTTGCTCACTCAGTGCCACTGGAACTAATGTGAGTGGGAAAAAGTGGTCCCTGTGCTGAATTGCAATAGCTTGTTAGCAGGTGGGTATTCTGCCTTACCAGCAGATCAGGTGGGGAGACTTCCATCAGGGTCTAGCTAGTGCCATTAGTCCTTCGTCCTTGTAAGCATTAAAAGTTCATTGCTTGCCACCCCAAAGTCTAGGAACATAGATTGTAAAGAAGTGAAAAGTTGTTAGTTAAGATGACTTAGAGCATTTTATTCTTTCTCTAGATGTACAGGGGCTTTCAGATAATGCCACATGTTCAGTACATCTACACAGAAGCCTCTGAGAGTCTTTGTGGAGTCAAGCTGGAGGTCAACAAGTACCAGTATCTAATTACAGGTAAAGGACAGTGTACTTCTTTATATACAAAACCTCTTCTGTTCTAGACATACATCTGCTAAGGGTAGACATGGGCATGGGCAGCTGTGTAGACAGCTCTATGTGCAGCTTCCCAAGTGTTAAGATGTTCAACAGTATGTTAGTGTTCAGTACTCTTTAATGCTGAGAGTCATTTCACTCTCTAGATTTCCCTCTCTTTTCTAAAGTATCTCATATACCCAGTCTTGTCATGACAAATATGCTGTGTGACAGTCCACAGCTGTTGATTTGTACCTGAGCTGGCACGTCTGTCCCATACAACTGGTTGCTACTCAGCTGTGCCAGAAACGGAAGATACCTTTTGGAATGAGCTGCAGAAATGCAGGCTGCTGAGATGGGGAGATGCAAGGAGATAAAGGTGTAGCAGTTGCCAAGTTTTCTTTCTAGTGAAGGTATTAATTCACTTTGCTCTGTTGTTAAGAGGAGCTTGACAGCATTACTCACTTGCATGTTGTTGGTGCTTACAGCTGGCACAACAGTCCTATAACATACAGAAGGTGCTGTAATCTTGCTGGCCAGAGATGCCTGAACCAGTTAATAAAAAGAAAGCAGTTGCTGAGCAGTGACTGAGGCCAAACATATTGAGAGCATTAGCAGTATCAGGAAACGAAAAAAGTGCTTGAGCTGAGAAGTGCTAACTTGTGACCATGTCTCTGTTTTCAAGGCCGTGTGTATGAAGGGAAGGTTTACACTGGCCTGTGCAACTGGTATGAGAAATGGGACCGGCTGACTCTGTCCCAGCGTAAAGGACTGAATCATCGTTATCATCTGGGTTGTGGATGCAAGGTATGTGTGTCTAATTAGGTGTCATTAAGACATTCAAACCCTAGAATTCTGTTTCCCCTGGCTGGTAGTATCAATGATGCTGGTGAACAGCCAGGAAGAGAAACGGAGCACAACAAGTTTTACAGGGAGAAAGTAAAGCTCAGCTGTAGTGCTGAGACCAGAGAAGAAACAATCCAATAAAAGTGCAGAGTCTATGCCTTTTTAATGCCCTGTTGGAGTTAATTGGGGTTGTGGAAGGCTTTCAGAATCCATGCAGAATCATTTGCAGGTGAATGAAATCACGTACCAGAGGCTTGGCAAGATATGTCCAGCTTTTTTCCTGTGCAAACATTTTGAGCGCTTAAAACCTACAGCCTGGCACTGGAACTGAGATTTTTGCTCATGGCCCCAGGCCTGCAAAAACATAAGACACAAGCTCAACTTTTCTACACCTAAAAAGCCCTTTTGACTCTAGAATTACCTGTGTATGTGAAGCTAAGCACACGCTTATGTGCTAGCTGAGCTGAGGCTGAATTTTGGGTTAGAAAGTAAGGTTTGTGGGTGTGGAATTTTGAGTCCCTTGACTCTGGTAAAAAGGCATTTTACGATGTTTTTCCATGTACCTTTACCTGACTGCTTTTTACAATTGCAGATTAGGCCCTGCTACTATTTGCCCTGCTTTGCAACCTCCAAGAATGAGTGCATTTGGACAGACATGCTCTCCAACTTCGGCCACTCGGGATACCAAGCGAAGCACTATGCCTGCATCCAGAGGGTGGAAGGTTACTGCAGCTGGTACAGAGGATGGGCGCCTCCGGATAAAACGATAATCAATGCCACAGATCCCTGAGCACGCTATCCCTTCCTTATCTCCCCTCTCCCTTACTTGTGGCTGATCTTCCTTTGGACACTAACTCTTACCAGATCATGATGATGACAATGAAATTAGTGCCTGTTTTCATGCAAATTTTAGCACTTCGAACACTTAAAAAAAAAAAAAAGGAAAAAAAAAAGAAAAGAAAAAATGTCTGTGCTACCTTACTGAATTTGTAGTCACCTTTTCCATTTTTTGATACCACTCATTTTGATCAGATGACATTTGGGAGCTTACTTTTGCACACCAGAGGGAAAACGGGAGGGAAAAATAAAAGGCAAAAAAGCAAAAAAAAAAAAAAGCAAAAAGCTGGAGCTCTTGCTCTCTTACACGTATCATTAGCTGTAGCAATATAATCTCTATTTTTTTAGGAAAACAAAAATCTAAAAACTATGCCAGTTAGGCACTATATTCTTCTATGCGCTGGCTTCCCATCACCCCTCCTCATGTGCTAAGTGCTGAAAATACGTAGACAAATCTATTTGAAGGAAAACAGGATCCATTAATCAGATTGGCAAATGAAGCAAACTGAAAAGAAACCCAGCCTAAACTGTGGAAAAAATGACATCCAGAAAAATCCTCCTCTATGGGAGAGATTGGCAATGTGATTGACTCCAGCAGTGGGAGAATTCACCTGGTGTCTGACAGCATCATCTGGTAAAAGCATTGTGGACTGATTGTCCTAGCTCATTCAGTCACAGTGTGGATGCAACAGCACATTTAAAGTTCTGGCTTTCTCCAGAACAAAAGAAAGAGTATTTTGTATTTTTGTTGCTGTTTAAAAAACAAAAGCCCCATCCCTATTTTCAGGGAGGTAAATCTGCCTACAGCAGAACAGATGAAGTGCTGTGCCATCCTGTTTTGAGCAGCATTGGCCCCTGAATTTTTTGCAGCTTAGCTTCTACAGCAAAACCAGCTTGTGAACACCTTCAACCAAACAGATGCAAAATGCCAACTGTAAATCAATCACATAGAAGAGGGAAAGGGGAGACTTGCTAGAGCTCTTACTATTAAAAACAAAAGAAGTCTATTGCCAAAATAGTGTTTTGCTGAACTAAGATGTATATACACATAATGACATAAGCTATTTTTGACAGGACATGGAATTTTTTTGGCGTTGTAAACAAAAGAATGGTTTGATTGTGTTTTAAAGACAGAAATATTGACATTCCGAGTCAGTGAGTTGTTTTTAAGATAATTGAAGCTCCAGTGTATCTGCAGTAGTGGCTACAGTCATTGTTTCCTCTGTACCTCCCTGCGCCACAGTTCCTCCCCTGCAGCTACACTAGCTGCATCTGTTTATATAGTGAAAGGAAGTGGGTGAGGCACTACGCAAGGAAAAGTGGTCTCCTAATAAGTGCTGGCTGGGATCATAAAATCTCAGCTGCCCAGAGGATTCCTTCTGTGTCAAGTGCTGTGTTTCCCTCTAGGCACCGTTAAGCATAGCTCTCTGCATGTGCTCATACCATGTCCTGCAGTGATGTGGGAGGAGGAGCCTTACTGTCTTGTGCTTTGCTGTTGACTGGAGAAGTTTTTTTCGTTCTATTTTGTTTTTTATTAAGAAAACTATAATATAATTTTTCTTATCAAATAAAAGTATTTTAAGTTTTAATGATGGTGAAGAAGGGGTGCTGACGAAATGGGTGACTTGAGTTTTGGATGGGGAGGGCTTGGGCAGGGAGAAGATTATGCTTAACTTCATTTTTGTATTATTATGATTATTTATCTTAAGTTTCCATATATCTTCAGTTCATTCCACTTAGAAAGCAGAGCTGCCACCAGCAGGAAAAAGCATTGCAGTGATTCTAGCTCAAGGCAATACAACATTTTAGAGTCAGTGACCTCAATTACTGGGGAGTTGTTTGGGACCTCTTTGCCAGAAGGAAAAGAAGGGGTGTCTGAGATGGGCCTTGATGCAGTTTAATGTTCCTACATCCTCTGAAATGCCCCATTTACTAGAGATGATTGTTGCAGGAAAAAGCATGTAGCTTCATGTTTGACATGAACTTTAAAGGGCATTTTCAAAGAGTTGGTGTAAGAGGTGCCTAGATCTGCTGTGTGTTTTTTGTTTCAAGCTGCTTAGTGGCAACACAGCACCATACACATTGAAAGTGTTGGATTTTCCTGTGCTTCAGGCTTGGAACACTTTTCAGAAGTCCTCTTCCCAGTGACTACTCCTAAATTGCATAGGATCATGTTGTGGGTCAGAATGTCGCCTCTTTTGGCAGAGTACAAGCCTGGGCTTTGGTCATAATGGGACAATCTCTGTTCAAGCTGTGCACAGCTGACAAAATCTCTGAGAGTCACTGAGGACGGAGTGGAGTCACCCTCACTGTTTGCATCGTGTGGAGTCAGCATCGCCAGAGATGGCCATCCCCAGGCTCAAGATGACATTGCAAAGCTGACGTCTCTTTGAGCTGCAGCCACCTTTCATGGCTTTGGAAGGCTAAATGAAAATGCCCCTCGGTGCAGTGAAGTGTTGATTTGAATTTTCATTATACTGCAGCTCTGCATATTTTACCTATCACTGATCCATTTAGCTAAGCTGAGACATCACAGTATTGCACTCAAATTATTGTGAGAATATTTGCATTCTAGTACTAAGAGGACATGTGTCCCTAAGTAGGATATAATATAGCTATGTGCTTTGTGAACAACAAACCAGCAGATGCATTACCAGAAAATGAAGTGTATTCCCATTTTATATTGCAGATGGTGAAATATTTCTGAGATGCAGACAGCTAGAACAGCAGGGGTAGGGATTTGGTAGCAAATCTTTCCCCTTGCTGTGTAAAGAAACAGTTGCTAAGGCTTTTAAAAATGTGGAGCCAAAAGGAGGGGGGAGAATCCAGTAAAAATACATTTCTTTTGGGAGGCTTCTTGATTTTGTTTCTGTGCATGCTATCAGGGACATCGGTTTCTTGGGCTAAGCTTTAGATTGTGCTTCTGTTAAGAATCTGAATGAAGGCTCCCTTGAAATGGGATGGGGCCTTTAAATGGATTGAAGAGGCTCTAAATCAGACTCAAAGACTTCTTCCTTTCTATCTGCTCTCCTTTTTTCTGTCTTGCTAAGTCACTTCTGCCTGCCAATGGACAAAACTCTGTCCCTCCTTACAGCGGACCATGCAATATGCGGGAACACGAGGCATGGTGATGTGAGGAGGCAGGTGTGAAGTTCTCCCCAAACTGTTAGGCTGTGGGGCATACAATGCTTTGCAGCAGCACAGGTATCTTCCTGTCACCTCTGACAAGCTCCTCACTTCGCCCCATAGCCTAAGGTCAGACTCAGTGGCACAGCTCATGTGAGCATGACCTTTGGACACATACAGAATTAGGGCTTCCCCCCTCCATGCTTTAGATATACCAACATTATTAAAAGTACTTTTTAAAATGCATAGCTCATTTCTAGACTGTTGCTGATGGCTTTCTGATTTACAGATATTTCCTTTGGAGTGTTTTTCCCTTTAGAATTACAAAAAAACTATGAAAAAATATATTGACTGTTTGGGAAAGATGGGATTTGATTTGCCTTTTCCGAAATGGAGGGGGTAGGGGGCAAAGGGAGACTTGTGTGTGGAGTACCTTGAATACAGTTCTCCTGTGCGAGGCTTCTGCCTCCCCTGCATAGGACAGAATTGCCGTTTAGGTCTAACTTTCCCATGTTTTGAAGAGTTATATGGCCCTTCAGGCAGGACTATTCTAAAACCTAAATCTATGTGGCTGTATCCCATTCATACTTGGCTGAAGTGAAATGCTACCTCACATTGAAGGGCAGCATTCTGTTGTGTTTTTTACAGTAAAGACTGTTTGAAGTAAAGGGCTCCATGGGAACAAGTTTCTATTCTTTCAGATGTCTCTGAAAGTGTATCTCACTTGCTATGTATTTTATAGCTTAGAAGGGCAGAACAAAATTTAGTGAACTGCAAAACCCTTGTCTTTTTTAGAATAAGTGGCTTTTGGGGCTACCAGTCTTGAGAACAATCTTTGCAATCCACTAAACATTTGCTGCTGCTTTGCCTGTACTGGCTTTTCCTTCTCTCTGTCACTGTCCTTCCTTCATAGAGCTGCTCTGCTGTTCCTGATAGTCATGGAAACTTGGGGAGGGAACCAAACCCGTGTGAAAAATCTTGTCCAGAAGGAATGTATTTGTTGCTAAATTTTCTAGCACTGTTTACAGTTTTCCTCCATGTTATTTATAAATTTTATATTCAGTGAATGTATATTGTCTTTTAAGGTAATGTTGCATAATGTTCACTTTTTATAGTGTCCTTTTATTCTAAACAGTAAAGTGGTTTTATTTCTATCACAGACATTCTGTCTCTGCTTCACTTCTGTTAGTTTCTGTCCACTTCAAGTGTACACAAACAGATTTGTAAGTGGATTTATTAATTTCCTTCCCTTTTGTGATACCGTTTTATTGGACCCAGAGCAGATACTCCACCTCTGGCAACTCTTTCACTTTGGTGAAGATCCTTCCAGCAGTCCTTCCCTCTTTTTAGGAGCTTGATTTAAGAATTATTATTGGGGTCATAAGCTCAGGAGAGGTGAAATACCCCGTTTGAAGTTAATGTATCCCACTTGTTAACTGACCATAGGGGGTCACTACAGAGCAAGGCAGTCATTATGGCTGTCATGTAGCACCAGTAGGCCCTCGGAAGAACAGTTGCCAGATCGCTGTTAATTCCAGTAGACAGATCACTGGGGGGAAGGTTAAATGGTGTGTGCCCGTGGCAAAGGAAAGAAAGATTCATCTTTCAGATCTTCTCTGCTGTGGAATGTCAAAGTCTTGTGTGCGCTTTTTAGGCTTGCTGTTTTAAGGCTGGTTAAAAATGCGCTGTTGTCTCGAGTTGGAAGCTTCAGAAAAAGCGTTTTCAACTAAATTAAAATGCTTACAGAAAGGTCCCTACTCTTAGAAATTTCCTTTATCTCACTTTTACTATAGGAAAGTCTCTACATGGATGAAAGAATGAAACAGATTTTTGATATGTTCTATGTTTAATCTAAAGGTTTTAAGAGTAAGATTTGGAACGTTTTGGACATAGAAGGATGAGGATGTCTTACGTGAGACCTCCATTGCTTAAAGTTTATCACGTTGCAAAGAGGTAAAACCATAACACTAGTTATAAACACTTCCAGGGGGTCAGCCATCAAAGGACCACAGCGTATTTTATGAGTGCTAACTGGTACAGCTTGAAAATGCCTCCAGGAAAGGGAAGAAAAAGAGTGGGAAAGAGGGATCATTATATTCCTATTTGACACATGGAGAAGTTGATGCGCAGCAGGCAAGCAACTTTCAGAGGTGCTTGGTGGAGGATGACTGCAGCGGAGTTTACTTGGTGTAAGCATTTGCCCTCTCAGCCTCTCACAGCCCGAGATGCTGTGAAGGTGCCCCCAGATAAGATCTAGAGAAGTTGTGTAGATTCATTCTGTGAGGTAAACACCCCCAACCTGGAAAAGGCTGGCCTGAATTTGCTGAAGTGGAGTGTTGCTTGTGTAAATGTTTGGAAAGTGATTGGTTTAAACAAGATTACTCAAACATGCTTGTCCACTATAGTGTTTGCATTCAGATGACATTATCTACAGTTTCAAAACATTCCTGTATTCTTTTGGAAGTAAGCAATAGCATCTGCAGGTATTTGATCAGTTATAAAGATAATAAATATATGGAGTTAAGATCAATACTCTGATAAACCAAACTACTAGGCTGGTAACAAATGTGTTTACATGCCAAGGAATCAAGAACAGTATTCCCAGACAAGAAAATGATGCTAGAAGTGCTGGGTAATATATTTGCAACAAAAACCTTAATCAACTCTTTCAAAATTACCATTCCCAAAGTAATGGTCACAAAAATCGTAAGTGTTCTGAAGCATCGCATGCCACAAACCCCACTTCATAAATCAGCAGGAATTATATGCAACAGGATTTATCAACTATTTTGTCTTAAATGTTTGCAACAAACTGTCACGTAGTGTTGAAGGACCATCCATATCTTGAGTAACACAGCTCATACCACTGTGTTTCTTGCAGTGTATGTACATGACTGCACTTACCTTTGTGATGTGCCTGTGAAATACGGAAGCGCTGCTGTCCACACAGCATTGGTAGAGACCAGAGTATTGGAGCAGGGAGATGGACTGTTACTTCAAGGTATTCAGGTACATAGGGAGCACCAGTGGGATTTTTCCCAAGTTGGGAGTGAAAATTCATGAAGGATTAGTCATCCTTTTAACCCAGGGAAAACAAGAGGCAGGAACAGTTTTAAACAAAGCCACTTGCTTTGCTATGTTGCCCAGGACTAAAGGCACCTAGGCAGGTATCTTTGCAGGGGTTTGGTACAGTGCCCAGCAGGCACACAGGACACTAAGTGTTTAGATGTTGACAGGAAGAATAGACCCCAGAGCCACTGTGCAAAGGACTATTACAAGCTGAAACAAACTGTTTTTTAAGAGCTCCCCTTTACTTCGAGACCCTAGTCAGGCTGATAAATGTTTCATGGATGGCAATCATGTGACAGATAGACCAAGCAAACTGACATTGTGAAAGAAACACCTCATATGGCCCATGTCCCGAATCGTCAACATATTTTAAACAATTCCAGGAGGGGAAAAAGTCCACTTTATCTGAATGATTTCTTTCTCTAAGGGATGAGCTTTTGTTGACTAGATTTTACGAGCAATTTTTGCTTTGGTTTCAAGCCTGTTCTCATTTTTCACTTTTTCAGGGTTCATACATGACCTGGGGAGGGCTGGGCAAGAAAGGAACGAGGTTCCACAGCAGTGACTTTTGCATATTGCTTTTTAGCTAGTAACTCCCTGTAAGTAAAATTGAGACTCTTCCCAGCATTCCCACTGCCACCTCTCGTGCCCAGCTTGTATTTGTTGATTCTCCCCCATCTATGGTGGCATCAGAAGAAAGCAAAGGTACTCACCATCTGCTTATGGCTTGGGAAGAATGTTTGGTCCACAAGGGGAAACTTCTCAGGACCCAGCGAGTTGAAGATTTTGATGAGCTGGGAGAACTTGGGGTGAGGGAGGAGGAACAAAAAACAGACACAGTGGGTGTCAGTGACTTACTGTGTAATAAGTAAGTTCTTGCAAAATGTTCTGATACTGGTGGGGGAGTTGTGAGTGAGTGAAATATGTTGTTGTGCCTTTCCCACCTTGCTTTCTTGGCCTGAGAAAATATAAAGTTGCTGTATTTACCCAGGGCTAAGCCAGCCTGTGTACACAAACCTTGGACTGAGAGAGCAAAGAAGGGGTTCAAGAGCCAGAAAGGATCAGATTGGATTTAATTACAGATCTGGTATGAACAAGCTGCGCTTTCCAGTTGTGGCTGGGGAGAGAGTGGGGGGCCCTTGGTAGAGGAAAGGGCTCAGAGGAGTGACCAGGCAGGAAATCAGTGCCACCACTCATGAGCACAGGCAAAATAAATTAAAGCTCTTCTCTGGATCTCTGCCCCACAACCAAATCAAAGCAAGGCACATTTCTTCATTGTGCTGAAGGGAAGGAGAATTGCTAAGGCACAGAGATGTCTAGAGGGAATTGACAGTGCTACCTGGATTGGCTATTAAACCAAGGAAGTGTGAGTCCACTGTCAATCATAATTGGCATTTATTATGAACCGAGGGTCTCTCAACAGCCCCCGGTGCATGGCAGGAGAAAGACGTCATCATCTGCTAGCCCTGTCCCAGTGAGGTCTGAGGGAGGTACCAGTCTGTGAGGGTGATATCTAGAGAAAGCAGTATGTAACATTGAGGGGGAAAGAAACCGTGCTGGTATTTCATGTAAAAGGTGCCGTTGTCCCCACCTGTCAGCTTGAACTTCACCATTATCATTACTATTATAAACTATTTATCATTCAGGGTTGTTCCCAGCCAGACACAAAACTCCCCTTGGCAGGACTGAGTTTTGATTCCAGGTTCCAAAACTCCATCAGAAGTGCCGTACAACAAATTCTTGCTCAACATCAGCCATCTGTGAAGTGAGCAGACTATTCTGTACACTGTATTCAGCCTCCCTGTTCAATCTATCATTGATCAGCTGGAGGAAACCCCAGAGCTCTATGAAAAGAACTTAACAACCATGACATAAAATGTTGCTGAAGCAGGGTTGATTTACCAAAGAGAATAAGAGGTAATACATCCCAGAAACCTTTTGGATCACAGGAGCAACTTAGATTCTTTACAATCACACATCTAACCATCCTACTTTCTCTCTGAAGAGGTACAGCCCCATTACCTTGGACAATGCTGAGCTGGCAGTGCTGCTGGTGAAGTGGTTAGACTGGCAGCCTTGCAGAAGGGGGAATAGTTAGGATTGGAAAGGACCTTAAGATCATCTAGTTCCAACACCTTAAAGCTGAATGAAGTAGCTTGATTATTTTCATCGATATTAAGAAAATAAAATGATTGAGGATTGCTCCATGAATAAGGATTTTGGTTCCTGCTTGCGCTGGTAGATGTGACTATTCCCCACTGATGTCCTATTTGCAAAGTAACTCACAAACTGAATTTAGTTTCAAAGACACCCCAGAATTTGATAAAATCAAGTTAAATTAATAAAAGTCTCCAGTCTGGGCTAAGAGTCACTGTTGCACAAGTTCCTTCAAGTTTCTCATCAAATGGATGCATTTGTCTTGAAGGAAATCTTTGTGTCACCTGAGGGAGGTAACACACAATTTAAGGGAAGGAGACAAGGGAAAAAGGGAAAGGCAAGAAAGCCTTTTTTTCCTCCCAATAGCATCAGCTGCCTCATCTTACATATTCTGAGCACTTCTGAGCAATGGCTGAAGCCAGTGTATGTACCCGCAAGGTTACATTGCAGATAAAGAGGGAGTTATGAAAACATTTTCTGCTGAGTTGCTACCTTAAGGGTTCCTGTCATGGTCAGTGGGCCAGTTAAGCAAAAGCATTTCTATATAAGAAGTTGAAACTTCACTTGGTGGTGGCGAAGAAATACCCTTTTGTGAGTTAAAGGGTGGTATGGGTGTGAAAGCCAAAATGCATCCAGTGTGCAAAAGCTGAGGCTGCAAGGTGTGTGCCAGAGCTGAAGGGGCAGCTGCCAGCAGATCTGCAAACAAATGTGAAGAATTCCTACCCTAATCTCATAGGTTAAAATGTGGCATTTAAAAAACCCCAGAAAACATCAAGAGGTGGCATATCCCATCACTGACACCCCTCCCACCCTGCATCAGCAGATAAGAGAAAAACTCCCCATGTAGAATGATTATTGTTGGCAAAGAGGGTATTGATGTTGGGGAGGGAGGACAGCTTGCTCCTCTTAACTACTTGCACTAGATCTGCACATCCTAGAGAAGAAAAATAAAGGCCTGTTTTGACTAGGAAACTGAGCAAACAGGGCTTAAAAATTAAACAGAATGAGGCAGAGACAGGGAGAGGAGGAAAAACACCCTGGCTGTGAGCAGCACATACCCCTTGGTGCCCGTGAACGCAGCACTGGTGAACCATGGACATACATTTATCCTAGGAAAACAGCTCTGACAAAATAACTGGAACAACTGTGCAGCTGACAGAGAGTGTTCGGACTTGTTCCTTGGAGTTCCTTTTGAAGCATACAGCTCTTGGCTGTTGCTGAAATAGCAAGTTTCATAGGGACAGATGAGAGGCTCAGCCATCTGGAAGGCTCCTCCATCGGCCAAGCATGTGAAAAGGTCTGACCTTGGTATTGACCCTCATGGGAAAATTCCCTCCTTTTTGCTATCTTTTTTTCTGCCAGTTGTTAGGGACAGGATTTTGGCAAAAAGATACCCCTGTTACATGGTGCAGCAGCCTCTTAGATACCTGATAGCAGGGCTCAAGTAGCACCTCCCAGTGCATTTTAGGTGGATTGGAATGTTACTATCAGCAGTTCAACGAGATGTAACTGCCCCTTCCACATTTTGGTATCAGTTCTTACTTGCTGAGGTTCCACTTATTTTAGTGAGATTGTGGCCAAACTTCAGAGCAAGACATGGGGCAAGGCAATGTGGGACAGTCTGGTCTTAAGTACCCAGAAGAGGGTCCAACAGCCTTGCCTGGCTGGTTGGACACCCGAGTTACTTATGGGGAGTCTTTATAGAGAAATAAAAAGGTCCATTTGGAGGATCTACTTTGCTCTTGTGAGACCCCACCTGAGTTCCATGTGCAGTTCTGGTGTCCTTAACATAATAAGGACATGGAGCTGCTGGAGCAAATCCAGAGGAGGCCACGAGGATGATCAGGGGACTGGAGCACCTCCCATATGAAGATAGAGTGAGAAAGTTGGGGCTGTTGAGCCTGGAGAAGAGAAGGCTGTGTGGAGACCTCATAGCAGCCTTCCAGTATCTGAAGGGGAGCTGTAGGGGTGCTGGAGAGGGACTCTTAATCCGGGACTGTAGTGATAGGACAAGGGATAACAGGTTCAAACTTAAACAGGGGAAGTTTAGGTTAGATGTAAGGAAGAAGTTCCTTACTGTAAGGGTGGTGAGGCACTGGAATGGATTGCCCAAAGAAGTGGTAAATTCTCCATCCCTGGTGGTGCTCAAGGCCGCGTGGGACAGAGCCTTTGACATGGTTTAGTGTGAGGTGTCCCTGCCCACAGCAGGGGGGTTGGAACTGGATGATCTTAAGGTCCTTTCCAACCCTAACGATTCTATGATTCTTTGTTCTCAAGGCCTTCAGGTATCTTATATCCCTTGACAGTCAATAAGTTTGGCTGGGAATCTCTTGGACTCTGTCAAGACTTCATGTTTCCTGCAGTTTTACAGATGCAAAACTTGCCTGGCAACTACGAATATTAACTGCATACAATATGAGCACTACTTTGAGCACATTTGGTATCACAACTTTTCTAACACAGAAATTACAATTACTGGTTGAGGCGTTGTCTTTAGTGTGCTTGTAACATTCTTTCACAATAATTCTTAAATCATCTTAAAAGTTAGATGTTTCTGTGCGTGTGAGACCCCCTGAATACTCTTTTTTTTTTTTCAGAAATGCCTATTGCAAACTGCGCCCACATTTAACGCAAATTTTAACCTTTGAAGAAATTTGTGTGTTTCAGTACTGGAAACCTGGCAAATGTCATTAAGAAATGGGGCTGCATGTTTGAGTAAACTCAAACCCCAAACTCAGCTGATTGTAATTAGAGTTGCTGAAAAAAAACATCGTTGCAAATTGCCAAGGAAAAACAGTCTCACTTCCATCCACCCTCCAGAAAATCATAAACATTTCTATGAAATGGAACCATTTTTGGAAAGAATAAAAAGGGAGAGTGAAAAGCACATTTCCCAGGGGTATTTAGTTTCGTTTCTTCATGTACCTCAACTGTTTTCTAGGTCCAGAAAGTTTCCAGTAATCTGTGGTAAGCAGATCCCTTATTTCGAGATGCCTGTTTTGCAATCAGAGTGGAATATGCACCGGAGTACTCTGTCCCTATCTCTAAATGAGGTAGATACCGCAAAATCAGTTTTCTCATTCTGCTGCCTCTGAAGCTTTCTGCCCTCAAATGCTCCATCACAATTTCTACGAGCTTCAGCCTCGTAAAATGTCCAGGGTGCCGAATACCAGCTCAGGTCCCATCTGAGCTCTTAGATTACCCTGTGCACTACAGTCGTGTTTGGGGGTTATGTGTGTGCAAGGGCAGTAGGGAAAGGAGGCATTTTTGCAAACGTATTTTAAGTGTTTACAAGTGGTTTCCCTGACTTGTCTAGGAAGGTTGTCTGTGCCAGCTGTATTCCCCATGAGGAAAGCATGGCACAACTGCACCCAGAATAGCTACAGCCAAGTTCCTGGCAGAGCCAATTTCTCCCACACTGCCTTGCCAGCCCTACTTTTTCTTCTCTTTTCTTTCTTTTTTTTTTAACCCAATGTGCTGAGTTTGTTTGTTTTCTTTTATTTTAGGCTCCTAAAAATAGGCCTGTCACATCTTGAGTCCCTTGTACACCATTAGAAACATAATTACAAGGCATGAGTTGAAAAATGCCAACTAAATCCTGACTGACTCAACCCCAAAATCAGATAGGATAAACCACAGGGCTGTCTTCCTCAGCAAAAGACAGTGTAAAGGCGGAAGCTCTTTGTCTGGTCACCAGGGTCATAGAATCATAGAATCAACTCAGTTGGAAAAGACCTTTAAGATCACCAAGTCCAACTGTTCCCTCAGGACTGCCAAGGCCACCACTAACCCATGTCACTGAGGGACTCATCTACACGGTTTGTGAACACTTCCAGGGATGGTGATTCCACCACTGCCCTGGGCAGCCTGTTCCAATGCCTGAGCACCCTCTTGGTGAAGAAATTGTTCCTAATGTCCAATCTAAACTTCCCCTGGCACAACTTGAGGCCATTTCCTCTTGTCCTGTCACTTGTTACCTGGGAGAAGAGACCAACCCCACCTCACTCCATCCTCCTTTCAGGTAGCTGCAGAGAGAGATAAGGTCCCTGGGAGCTTTCTCTTCTCCACACTAAACACCCCCAGTTCCCTCATCTGTTCCTCATCACACTTGTGCTCCAGACCCTTCACCAGCTCTGTTGCCCTTCTCTGGACACCCTGCAGTGCCTGGAGCACCTCCTTCCCTCCATCTTCACCAACCTTAGGGGCTGCAGAGCTGTTTCACGTATTTTAATTTCTCCTTTTTGGCTGTTCCATAGCAGTTTTGTTCCCTTTTTAAATACTTTATCCCAGAGGTGCTACCACCATTGCTAATGGGCTCAGCCAGTATTGAGACAGTTGGCATTGGCTCCATCTGACATGAGGGAAGCTTCTAGCAGCTTCTCATAGAAGACACCCTGGCAGGCCCCTGGCTACCAAAACCTTGCCACACAAACCCAGTATGACACTCTTTCCGCTTTCCTTCTGCCTCTTTCCCATACCTCTGTCATTCTAAATTCCTTTATTTTTTCCTAGACCTAGTGGCTGAAGAAATCATTTCTACATTTCTTGCCTTTCTTTTAGTATAATTTCCTCAGAACAAAGCAATAGCCAGGAAAAGTAGGAAGAGAAGACAAGTGCAGTTTTTACTTTTGCAAAGAATGGATAATCTTAGGCTGGGGCACCTGGTTACCACAAGTGTGCATCTAATAAAGGATGCTAGAAATAGCATAATTCAGATACCTTGTAAAAAAGCAAATGTTTGTTTTAAGGTATTTTTATTGTGTTTTGGTCAGGACAGAGACATGCTGCTATTGAGCTGATATTATCAATCTATTACTACTCACCTACTCTGCCTTACAAGTAAACTAAGTCTTGCTGTATTGTTAGCTGTTTGTGACACATTAGAGTTTGGGACAGGTGAAGCATCTTACTCAGGGTGAGGAAAGAACACCTTGACATAGTGCTACAGGGTTGGCAAAGGAGCAGTGTTGCTAGCTTTCCCCCCAAGAATTCCCAGCAGGATTCCTAAGGTATTTAGATGGTGTTTTTAACCTAAAGAGATGAATTCCCATGGCTGGAAGCTGAGTTTAGTGCTTTATTGGTACCAGCTTGACTTTGCAGTGTTGGCATGCAGTAGAGGTGGCTTGGCACTTACCACCCAGGGCTTGCTGCAGAAGTTGTAGATGGAGTAGAGGGAGTTGACCGTGTGGATGCCACCATACTGGAGGCCAATAATGAGGCTGCGGAAGTCCTCTCCCAGCGCCATGCTATAGGCATGCTGCCGAATCAGGACAAAGTCCGGCTTGAAAGATCTGCAAGAGACAAAGGGGATGAAGTTTTGTTTTCAAATGCTCACCAACACTTCCAGCCTCCCCTTGTTCCTTTTTCATCCTTCCCTTTCTTTTCATTAACATATGTTGCTCTCCTTTGGGCTGTTCGTCATGGACTGCTTGCATTTGGAGGTAACAAATCAAACAAAAAAATCTAGTCATCTAAAAGGGGAAAAATCCAACATAGCTGCAAGTGTGAGAGCACAGAATCAGGCCAAACAGATTCGCTGCAGTTTCCATGTCACTCAGGCATGCACAGGAACAAGCCACAAGCGGAGCCAAGGGTCATAAATTCACTGGTTGGGGGGATTCTCTTTTCTTTCTAAAAGCGTGGCCATATTTGGCAAGCTCATTGCAATGTGCGACACAGATGAGGGAGCAAGTTTATTTCCTGATGATTGAACTGGATATTGAAGCAATGCCCAGTGGGTGGGAAGATCATAAGGGATTTCAAAAAGCTATTGTACACATCCATACATTGACACACATTACCCCTTTAGTCAGTTTACTACATACGCAGCACATCCCAGGCTCTTACGGCTGTGAGTCAACAAGTAAAGGGCAGGCATGGTAATGTAATTAATCAAATGAGCAGAGTCCCTCATCCAGTGCTGTGACTCAGGGCATGGATTTCCAGAATATTATTTAGTGAGACTAGAGCTGGGACTCCTATGGTTCCACAGCAGCAAACACACAGAAAAGCAAGGTCCTTTTCTAGCTAAGCCAACAGGCGATGGATTGGCTTTCAAACAGCCAGATTTCATTCCTTGCTGATGCTGTGTCTTTGGAGCCATTCAGGAATCTCTGGGAACAGCAGCTGGAAAAGAAACTGTTCCCAAAATGGAGCTCAGCAGTTCGTTCTTGAAGGCATGGAGGGGGCTTTTCCACTGAAACAGAGGATTATTTTATACTTTAATGGAGGTTGCATCAAGGACATCGGAAAAATTTCCATACTGTATGAAAGTTTTTCACAGAAATGAGCTCTGTAACCAGGTCCCATTACCTCACTACCCTCGAACATTTTCCTTACTAAGAGACTATAATTTCTATCCTTTGGATGTATGATCTGGAAATACTTTGGGTTTATAGCCCCTATTTATATTTCCATCATTCTGGCAGGGAAATCTGAGATGGTGACTCTGGGACAGATTGTGGCAACAAACACTGTGTACAAGATCCAGTGACAGCTTTGTTGGTTTACAGCTGTTCATTTTGGGTTTTGGCCTTGGACTTTTGTTATCGCCAGAGACATGGTGAGGAGCATGCTCTGCTTTTGTGATGCAAGAGGCCAAGCTTCGGAAATGTTGTGATTCCCTCCCATGGAGAATTTTTAAACCCAGGCATGTTCCCTAATGTACTTGGCACCAAAGTTGGTGCTTTCCTCCAGCAAAGAAATGCATAATGAGCATTGGGAGGGCTGCGCTATCACTGTGCAGTTGATTTATGGACCTCCCTGATGTCAATGGGGGTGAAGAGAATGGTGCACCCCTGCTGAGAAACAGCAAGTGAATGAAAATCTTGGAAAGCTTGACTGGCTCCATTCTGCTGGATTTGCCATGCCGAAAGTACCCCAGAGGCAGGCACAGGTCCTCGGGAATCAGCTTCCTAGGACTAGGACTTGGTATGTACACTGAGTTACTAAAGAGTGGCAGTGCCCGGTGGGCAGGAGCTTCAGGCATGTCCCTCCTTCATCCAGCTTTCTAAGTGTACAAAGAAGAAAATGATCCCAAGTCTTTCACCAGGTTTGACTTAGGTAACAGCACTTACTGGGGCTGCAGGGTAATGGTTCAGACCATTGTCCCAGTCTCCCCAGAAGAAGCAGCAGTATTTGCCCTTGAACATTTCCCCAAATACCTCACTGTGGGGACGTGGTGCTGTGGTGGGGAGGAAGCAAATGCAAATGATCATGGCCAGCTCTGGGGTGGCAGGCAGTACACACAGCAGCTGAGAAATTGCCTTCAATGGCTTTACTTCTGCCAGCCAAAGGCTTAGGGAAAAAAGCTCTTGTCTGTACATATCCTGGCAAAGGAAGAGTTTTTCAACTTAGAAGATGGACACAAGAATACAGAATTGATGTAGAAAAGCCTATTCTCAAACTCTGCATCATGTAGGAAGGCAGAGCCCTCTCTCATGCAGACGATGAGGAGTGAATCTCTAAAGGGAAGGTGGACACTGAATCCCTGTTTTGAGCCGTGGGACAATAAAGATGTTCCCATGGATACTGAGAACAAGGCAGAGGAGTGCAGGGCCTGGAACTAGCTGGGAATAAACATCAGCTGGAGAGCCCTGGAGTCTGTGAGAGGTCTGTAACAGAGACACAGAGACCTGTGGCAATATGTGAGAAAAGGGGTTAGGAAGGATAGCAGGTAGTAAAAGGGAAATGAATAGTCAGGGTAGGAGTGGCAGTATGAAAACTGAATAACTGGGCGTACCAGTGATCTGGGGAGAAAAGTGTTCAAATGCTTCACACAAGAATTCTTGCTTTTTTTGGTAGGCAGTTACTTTTGCAAGCTCTTGCTCATTCTCAGAATGTAAAGCTTAAGCTAATATAGCAAGCTTTGGATTTGGAATAGCTAGTAGCATAACTGTTTTCTTTGCTATTTCAACCCAACCCAATAACATCTCCCATGTCAGGAACCTGAAATCCTTGGCAGACAGGTTAGGCAGAAGTCCCACATTTGAAACAGTTGCCAAAACTTTTTTGTGAGCCAAATTCAGTAGCACCTACTGTGCTGAGGTCCTTAGCACCCAAGTCCAGCAGGCATAGGATGGCTATGGCAGCAGCACATACCTTTCCTCTTCACTAGATCTGTCAAGCCAGTGGTTGGATGACCATGAGTGGTCTTGAGTACAAATGTACCTAGACTCCTGCTAAAGCCAGGTCATGGAAATGGGTTTAGTCACATAAAGAATGCAGGAGAGCCCCTTTGAACCTCTAATGGACAGGAAGATGGGACAGGTAAGTGGAACTGAATGTAAAACACATTTAAAGCATGTGGCTAATAAGCTGTGCTCTGCCTGTGGGCTGTGTGGCAGACACCTACCTGAAGCTGTGAATCTTCCTTAGCATGATAGCCAGATGAATGAAGCTTCCAAGAGAAAGCTGGAGCCCATCTTTGGCCACAGCCCTTTTATAGAAGCTTTTTCTCAGACCCCAAGGGCTCAGTTCTCATTTAGAATTCGGCCCTGGCAAAATAAAGGCCACTGAAATGCATGTAACACCTCCCCAGAGTGGTGTAGAGATTAAAGAATCCTTTGTTTAAAAAAATAATATCTGGGAGACTGGAAAATTTTCATTTTCAGATTGGAATAGCTGGTGAAATTTACTTTTCCTCTGGAATGGAAAGGAGCTTTCTTTTCAGCTTGTGTTGCCACTGCCATGCACAGCATGAGCCTTTCAGCACTCCAAATAGTGTACAACCAGACAGGACCCCCTCCCCCACAGAGTGAAGCAGCCTCCCCCAGGTCCCTTTGCTTTTCTCCTTTTGCATTTGCTTTCTTCTCCCAGATGATAGCCAAGGCACATGGCAGCCCCCCAGCCTATCTCTCCCCCTGGCAATAGAGATAGGCCAGTGAGTCAGTCACCCCTGGGCAATGGTGAGTATCTGGCTAGGAAGCTGCTAGTGCTGCCAGTCCTGAGCCTGGACTCCGGTTCTGTGGGGCAAGACGCTTGCCTGCATTTAACTAACTCTTTCCCAACTTGTTCTAGTGCATTTTAGCAGTATTTTTCTTTCCTGGCAGTAAAACTATACTTTAGAGATAAACCTAAGTATAAAGCCTGGATGCCAAATACCTCATAGGAAGAGGTCTGACCGCAGAACATGATTTCTTAGGTTGGACCCATCCACCCTTGAATCTGTGACAGTATTAGCTGTCGTGGAAATAGTTCTGTCAGAAATGACAAAAAAACTATATAAGAGATTGCTGATGTAAAATACAGAAATTAAACACGTCAGGAACTGCAGTAGCTATTCTGGTGCCCATATGTCTAACTTCTCTGAGAAGAGGATCAGCTCTGAAAAGATCATTGATAACATTTCTTTGCAGAAAGCAGGTCCCCAGTGTGCTTTGGTATAGAGAAGATGATGACAGCAAATCCTCCTGGGGGGTTTCATGCTTTATACTTCTGCGTATAATCCATAACTCTGGCTTTCTTCCTGGTCCTTTAGCTTTTCTTAAGCACAGAGAGATTTACGGACATGAAGAAAGAACACACAACAATAGCTTATGTTGCCAAAATACATTCTAATGATCCCTTCCACCGTGAATAATCAACTGTAGCCAAAGGGTAGACCTGCTTTATACTTTAGTACCATGATGGGTTTAGGCAGCTTTTCGCCTGTGCTGTAAGATGGGCTCTCCTGCTCTCTTCCTGAAAGAGTGCCAGTCTTACAAGACACTTCATCCTTTACATCAATAGAAAAAGATCTTCCCTGAGCACTGAAGATGCACATCTTCACTTCAGGTTCTGCCTAACCACCATTATTCAAGGAGTTTTTTAGTTCAGTTTTCTGACACTTCCCAGTGATCAGCACATTTTGAATAAGTTCTCTTCTAAAGCCTTTCCTATCTGCTTAGCACAACACGGACAGGGAGAAAAATGAATAATTAAACAATATGATACAAGCTTTGCATTACTGGCAATTGATGGAGCCTTCAGGCAAGATTCTGAGACACAACCCCAAGCTGTAAGTGGCTGCAGCTACCTGGGAAGTTTAATAATCCTTCCAGCTATGCAGTGCCTCCAATGCCCGAGAGCTAATAGAAAATGGCATATACAAATAGGAACACGTTCCTTTTGTCCTTTGCTTGGGTGTTATTAATATTTCTATTACATTACTGACAATATGAAATCTATGACATTTTCACTTATCACGATGTTAAATTTAATGTTATGTTGGATGCCATAGCAAAATGGGATATTTGTTAAGAAAAAAATCTCATTTCAGTCAAAACCTCCTGTCAGATTTTTCCAGAGAAAG